GTCCCATGTGCACTTGAGAAGAATGTGAATTCTGTAGTTTTGGGGTGTAATTCTCTGTAGATATCTATTAAATCCATTTGGTCTAGTGCTTCATTTAGCGTCTCTGTTTCCTTGCCAATTTTTTGTCTAGAGGATCTATCCAGTGATGTCAGCAGTGTGTTGAAGACCCCTGCTATGATTGTATTGCTATCGATTTCTTTGAAGTCTTTCAGAAGATTTTTAATATATTTAGGTGCTCCTATATTGGGTGCATATATGTTTATCAAGGTTATATATTCCTGTTGAATAGATCCTTTCAATAGTATGTAGTGGCCGCCTTTGTCTCTAGTTATAGCCTTCATTTTGAAATCTATTTGATCAGATATGAGTATTGCTACTCGAGCTTTTTTTTTCTTTCCATTTGCTTGGAAGATTTTTTACACCCCTTCACTTTCAACCTATGTGAGTCTTTTGTTGTGAGGTGGGTCTTGTAAACAACACATAGATGAGTCTTGCTTTCTTATCCAATCAGCTACTCTGTGTCTTTTAACCAGAGCATTTAATCCAGTTACATTTAAGGTGATTATTGATATGTATTTATTTATTGCCATTTTTGTTTAGTGTGGTTATATTTTTCTTCCTATTTCTCCTGCTAATTACAGTAGTCCTTTTAACATTTCTTGCAGTGCTGGTTTGGTGCTAATATATTCCCTTAGCCTTTTTTTTTTTTTTTGTCTAGGAAGCTCTTTATTTGACCTTCTATTTTGGATGATAGCTTTGCTGGGTAGAGTAGTCTTGGATTCAGATCCTTGTTTTTATGACCTTGATTACCTTGTGCCATGCCCTTTTGGCCTGTAGTGTTTCTGTTGAGAAGTCAGCTGAGAGCCTTATGGGGTGTCCTTTGTAGGTAACCTGTTGCTTATCTCTTGCTGCTTTTTGGATTCTCTCTTTGTCTTTAATTTTTGGTATTTTAATTACTATGTGTCTTGGTGTGGGCCTGTTTGGATTCTTCTTTTTTGGGGTTCTCTGTGCTTCTTGAACTTGAATACCTTCTTCCTTCACCAAATTAGGGAAGTTTTCTGTCACTATTTCTTCAAATATATTCTCTATCCCTTGCTCATTTTCTTCTTCTCCTGCAACTTTTATGATGTGAATATTGTTACAATTCTAGTTGTCTCACAGTTCTCTTAAGCTGTCTTTCGGTTTTTTAATTGTTTTTTTTTCCTTTTAGTTTTCTGGTTGGTTGATTTTTTTCTACCCTGTCTTCTAATTCCCTGATCCAGTCCTTAGCTTCTTCTACTCTGCTATTTAGACCTTCCAGTGTGTTCTTTATTTCTGCTATGTCATTCTTCATTTCTTCTTGGTGGTTTTTAATTTCCAACTGGTTGATTTTCAACATTTCTATGTCTTTACTCATGGTGCTCATGTCCTTAACCATGCTGTTGAGCTTCCTCAAGATCATGTCTCTGAATTCTAGTTCTGTTAACTTGCTTAACTGCACCTTATTTATTTCATCTTCGGTAGAGGTTTCTTGTTCTTTCATTTGGCTTTTGTTTCTGTGTTTCACCATTTTGGCTATCACAGTGGGCTTTGGAGCCTGCCAAATTTTTTCTGTGAGTGTTGATGTTCTGTTGTGTGTGGCTCCCTCTCTTGGGTTTGGATGAGCAAGGGAGGACCCGATTTAAACACCACTGTCAAGTCTTACTTTCCTGGTTAGAATTGCTTGCCCAGGAATGGTACAGTTATCTTCTAGCTTTTTGCCTGGAGGCTATCAGTAGCAGTTACTTGAAGAGTTTTGGGTTGTCAGTTGAGTGAAAAACTAGCTCAGGTGCTCAGGGGAAAGGGATTTTCAGAGGGTGAGGCAGATGCTGGTTGTTAATGTGTCTCAATTTGCATTTCAAAGGCTACCCGGTGGGGTTGAATGTCTGAGGGAGGGGCTACTGCCTCTCCCTAGAGCCCTGGGAAGGAATAAAATGACCACAGTCCTGCATGGCCTCAACTCAGCAAAAGTTCTGAGCGCCTTCCAAACCCAGAGTGTCCTCACACAGTTCTAGTCCAGTCTGCCCTCCCTCTGCCGGAGCCCAAGGTAAGTGGCTATGGTTATTTTAGCCTCTGTCCATGCTCTGCACTGTGGAGCTGCTTGGGGCTTTAACCCAAGGGCCCTGCTCCCAGCTAAGGCTGCTGCCTACAACTAAGGCCGCTGCAGTCTGTGGGCTCCCATCCGCCCTCTTGTGCCTTCGCAATCCTACCAGGATGGAGTCGGTGACTCTGGTTATATTGACCTCCAAGCTGCTCTTCTGTTGCTTTTTCCTGACGATTTGTGTTTATTTTTGTTGTAATTCCAGTTTGGTCCTGGGAGACGGTCTGTGTAGCTTCCATTTACTCTGCCACCATTTTGCCTCCTCAAGAATAAAGAAAAGTTTTAAAAAAATAAAAATAAAAAAGAATAGTCATTTGAAAGTTGTGAACTTTCAATAAAATACTAGGATACTTGCAACACCAGCCATTTCAGAGCATGCGTGGAAAAGTTGTTTCTTAGGCTTGTTGTATTGCTAGGGAACGTCATATTCCTCCTAAACTCCCGATTTGCATTACCTCATGGACACTGGACCTCACAGCTGTTCAATCTTTTCCTTCTGCTGAGCAGATATGAAGCTCAGTGTCAAATTTGTGGACACCTTCGAGAAATGTATATTGCATGAGTGTGCTTAATTTTGTGCACTAACTTTATTTACCCGACTGCATTTCTTTTCTTAAAATTATTTCCCATATGTCTTAATTTCTTCATTTACTCTTTTTTTTTTTTCTCTTCTAATGCATGTATCCTTGTTAGCCCCATCATTCTTTTTGAAATAAGCTGGTGTGCAAATTAGCAAAAATAAGAACTATCCTAAATATTTTAAGAAACTCTTGTTTTGATCCACTCTTGCTACCTAGGTCTTAGATCTTACCCTTGCTAATATGTCACAAAAGTCTCCTAGCTGGACCTGCTCTGTCCTTTTTCTTTCCCTCTGAATCCCCTTATCTGCACAGTAGAGTCCAGCAAGGTAGACGGCCATTCATAGCAGCAAGTCTCCACTTGCAGAACCATTTACTATGGCTCCACAGCAGCTCTCTATAGTGCTGCAGCTCTTGTTTCTGCTGTTCTGCCAGTGCTTGCTATTGCTACTGATCTGAAGCCCTCTCCCACTCCTTTACTTTTCTCAGAGTTAGTTTCCTTTGCTGATCCCCTCTGGCAGGGCTGACTACTTCCTGGGTGTTGCTTCCTCTCCTGGTATATACCTCTGGTCATACTAACCAGACTGCTGCTTGCCTATAGGTACTTTTTTGCAAATTAGAAAAAGGCACCCACTCCTTCTTCAAAATACTTTATAGAACTTCCAACTGTTAGAAAACCATCTTAATAACTACAAGGTGGGACAAAGGTAGGTTTACAGTTCTTCCTATAGAAAATAATACAGTAATAAATAATAATACAAGACTAAACTCTGTGTTTCAATACTCACAAGTATAACCTACTTTTGTCCCATCTTGTACATGAGTGTAAGTTGTTTACTCTGTTGGTGGCACTCTGTTAGGGTTGTACCATGCCCAATTGTACAGTTGGTCCTATCTGTTGTAATGATTGTGAATTATCTGGATTCCCCTCAGCACTGTTTGACCAGAAATAGCCGTCAATAACCAAATACAAAAGAAAGAATAAAGGTATGGATACTGTTGTAAGCCAGGAGAATCAACCTTACTTGGACACAAAGTAATTTTGATTATTAGGAGCTTTATTACCTGTGCAGGGACTGCAGCCAACCTACACATAGGAGAACTGCAGCCCCGAGCTCATGGGAAGGGTTGCTTATATAGGACAGGGGTTATTCAAGAGTTTAGCAGAGCTAACAAGCTACATGCACAGAAGTGGAGGCAGTTAGCGATAAGCAGGAGCGTACAGAGGTGGGAGGGAGCTGAGGTGAAAGGGAACTGGGTGAACTGGGTCAGCACACATCTGTCCTGCTATTCATTCTATTATCTAAGTTTTAAAAACTAACAAATTCGCTTAGAGGACACATTCATTTAGAGGAGTATCAGGTCAGTTGATACTTCCTTAGGTTGCCTCTGAAAGCTTCATAGTTGGCATTTTGTTTTTTTAATCAGGACAAAGTGATAGGAGCAGGTTATTACAGATACATTCCATGTTCTTGTCTGGAAAAATAGCAGGTCGGGCGTACCTTGCAAGGTCTTTTGTATTGAATATTATGATTAAGATATTGTAATTCAGAGACATAATTGTTTTGACATTTCAGTATTTCTGAAATCATTGTGTATCTTAAAGTCAGTATATCATGGTTATTGAAAGCACAGACCCTGGAGATAGAGTGCCTGGGTCGGAATCCCATTTCTATCACTTATAGACTTATTTGTGTGACATGAGTTACATTTCTTAACTTCTCTGTGCTTCATTCATCTGTAAAAGGGAGATGATAATAATTGTTCCTACTTCATGGGTTTGTTGTGAGAATTAAAGTATTATATGTACAGTATTTAGAATAATATCAGGCACCTAATAATAGTAAGAGATACAAATATTCACTATTATCATCAATATTATTAAAGGCTATGTATACATTTATTTCTTTCTAACCCTGAAAAGTTGTTTTTAATTCATGATGTACAGTTTATATTGATAGCATCTTGTTTCAGTGGGCCCATAATTATGTGCACTACTGTCATACACCCACTGCTGCTGTGGTGCGCCCTCCTCTGCCCACACCAGTTTTCTGTTTGCTGTAACAAAAGACACATAGTATACAGAGAGGAAACCAGCAGGCTTTGCATTTTCTTCCTTAAGGGCAGGAGAGAAAAGGGAAAACTAGGGCTCTTTATAGACAAGGCTTGTTTTAGAGGTTAAACTTAACTTCTTGTTCATGTTCTAAAGAATTGGTAATAAATCTTGGCTCTAAAAAATTAGACACCAGAGAGAATTGTGTTTGAAAAAGTGATTTTAATGTAAAAACATTATCTCATTGCAGGACAGATTTCTTTAAATGATTTTCAAGAGAGCTGTGCTGCAAAGTGGCAAAAGGTAATGAATGTTACTGGCCAGGTTTCCCATTAGAACCCTCCAAGGTACCCTCAAGTTAGACAAAAGATGAACGTTGCTGCCTGAATAGCTGTGGGTTTCTCCTGGTCATTAGTTTTCATTTGTGGTTGTAATTTCACAGGAAAGATGGGGTGGGGTGGGGTGGGGTGGCTGTTCTGTATGTTGTTGCAGATTGTCTTTTACCTCATGCTTTCTGTTAGCTTTAGAAACTACAATCTTGTGAGAAGCTCTGCAGAGCTCTTGCTCATTGTCCCACCCTGTTGAGAGCTCTTTTAAATTAAGCAAGATCTGACTAATACATTCTTTGGAGATGCTCTTACCATTTTCATTATTAGACAATTTTTTTTCCAGATTATATCACTTTAATTGGCTTAACACTCAACTTTGATAAATATTCTTGCATAATATACTGCACCAGCTAAAATTCTTACAGCAGTTGCAATACATTTATTTGGGGTTTTAGCTGCATTTTTTTTAGTTGAACAAAACTGTATAATAAGTAAATAATACAAGGATAAGCTAAAATGTTACCTTGCCTCATCCCCAGGGTGAGACATTTTTCCACATATGAAAGAAAGCAGCCAGTAACCACTCAGGCCCATTCAAAGGCTCACAAGATCAGCTGTTTCCAGAAAAGGATAAGCTTCCTGTTTACCAGCCAGCATGACACAAAGTAGTTGTGTTTTTTGGCTACATAGTACTTTGCATATATGTTGGGGTTCTGTCCAGTAGGACAGCAGGGCCGGACACTTGCTTTATGCTCAGACACCACCCCGACAGCATGTGTCCTAGATTTGGGCCACCCTCAGAAGGGCGCTTCTGCTTTGGCTCCAGAAGCAGCCCAGTCATTCTGAAAGGAAGCAAAGGAGGAAAGATGGCATTATCTCCTTGTTGGCTTCCTCCTTGCTTTTCTTTCCCTGGGGTACCCAATCGAGACAAATGACCTTCACACAAATCTGAATCTAACAATAAATTTTAATGTTTTTGTTTTTAATTCTCTAGGAAGCAGGATGCCAATGCCTCTGGGAAAACTGATCCTTTTTACCAGTGTGATGGCTAGTGGGGGCGGTGCCCTTATGTATTACCTTATACAAAGTAAGTATCCAGCAAACTGCCTGAGGCATGGCCTCTTCCTAGCTCTCTTATCCCTGTTCCTCCTTCATAGAAAATACTTCATATGCTTTTTGAAGATTATAAAGGAGGAGAGGCCTATTTTCAGAAACCAGTACACCATTCCATTCCTGTAGCCTCCTCCTTATCCTGTAATTCCAGTTTTTTAAGTGCAAATAAAAGTGTTGGTGGAAATGTGTCCTTGCAGTATCGTGAGAAAAGCATTTCCAGGGACTCACATGAGAGAATGAGGTCTGGTAGTAAGATTTATTGGGTGGAAATACAATGCTGCCCCCAGATTCCCAATGTCTTATCTCCATCTGTCCCACAATGAAAAAAGTCCTGCCTTGTCTTCATCAAGTCCAGTACAAAGAACAGTACCCAAGCTTAGTCCAGTTTAGTCCATGTCTGTCTTTATCCAGTTAGCATAGTCTGTTTCTGGCTGCTCTCTGACTGGTGCTGCCTGCACTGGGAGTATTTACACTTGCCAGCTGCTAGGCCTTCATGGCTGTTATGGAAAGAGAACTTGTGAACTAACAGGGAAAGTGCATACTGAGTGAGAGCTTTGTTAAACTTGGGTTATATTATCTTGGGCTTGGGAAAGACCAGGTGCCCTTTCAAAATAACCAAACAACTTCCCAATCTTTCATGGGCTTCTGCTTGTTCTTCCCACTAACCAATCTATTTCCTATATCTTTCAGGGTTCTTTGTCCTTTGTCCAATACGATCTTTTTTCCAGGCTAGACAGATGGTCTCCATCCTAGTTCCTACTGCACATGCCTCATAGTAAAAGCACCTCTCCCTGTGCCACCTTGGCTTCTACTGGGCATTTGCCTTTATTGTTCTATCCCTCACCCCTAATTACCCTTGGGGTGGTGGTAGTTCCCTGGAGAGTGTGTGAAGCTGTAGCTTTCCAGTTAAGCAAGCCCAGTATTGGATTCAGCTTCTCAGTTTATTAGGCTTCTTAATGTGTAATTCCCTTTGCTCCCTTCCTTGATTAATATCTAGCTATCTATGCTAACAAAAGGATCCCGACTTGTTTGCATAAGAAGCCTAGCAAAATGCAAGATGGGCATTCACTCCAGTGCACACAGGAGATCCAAGATTGTTGAGATTATATAAAGAACAGAGGGCCCTGGCTGCTTTGGCTTAGCGGTTAGAGCAGTGGCCCGTTTGGTTCCCGCTAAGGGCATGTACCTTGGTTGCAATTTGTGCCCAGCCCCGGTTGGGGTTGTGTGGGTGGTAGCCACTGATGTGTTTCTCTCACATCGATGTTTCTCTCTCTCTCTCTTCTTCCCTCTCTCCCTCCTGCTCTATCTGAAGATAAATGCAAAATGTCTGTGGGTGAGGATTAAAAAAAAAAAAAGGAACAGAGGGGAGAGGGATACCAGATGGTTCATAGGTGGTGAAAACATGGTTTCTCAAGTGTCGTCAGCCTGTTTGCCCTGCCATTCTTTGATGTTGGCTTAGTAGAGGAGGGGAGTTTGAGCAAGACTCGCTCTGGTGAGAGCAGAAAGTAGAAGCAGTGTCCAGGATGGCAAAATCTTGACAGATGTGTCTTTCAGGCTCACTGCCTTCAAATTTGAATTTGTAAAGACAAACCACAGTTATGAATAACCAGGACATTTAAGGTCATTTAATTGCTGCTGGCTGTGAAGTAGCAGCAGTTTTTTTTTTTCAGAAAGATTTTCTTTGAAGCAACTCCATGTACTCTCAGCTTGGGACTTCAACCTTACTCTACAGCATTTTCACTTTTTGCCAGGATGTTAGAATCATCAACAGATGAGCCAAACAAAGCATAGTGCCTTTTCCACCTATTCTTTTTTATTTTAAAGAATGCTCATAAAGCAGTAAATATTTTATTAAATCTCAATCCTTGAATATGTTTTTTCAGTGTTCTTTTTTGTTATTGTTAACCCTCACCCAAGGATATTTTTTCTATTGATTTTTTTTGTTTAAAGAAAGTGGAAGGTTAGGGGTGAGGGGGAGAGTGAGGAGAGGAGAGAGAGACACACTGATTGGTTGCCTCCCTCATGTGCCCCAACCAGGGCTGCAGATCGAACCTGCAGTCCAGGTACCTGTCCTTGACTGGGAACTGAACCCGTGACCCTTTAGTTCATGAGCTGATGCTGTAATCACTGAGCCACGCTGACCAGGGCTCCACTTATTCTTTCTGACCTTCTTTCAGTTGACCCAGAGGCCTTTGAGTCTGGAAATGACCTAAGATGAACATTCCCAGAAATAATTCTGACTAGAATAGTTCAGCCTCCTCTCCCTTTTGCCAAAGAGACAGAGCCAGAATATGACAGGAATGGGTGCATTTTAATGGTTGGCGGGACCAATAACCTTTCTCCCTTAGGAAGCTGCAGTCATCCAATAGACAGCCCAGCTAAGGCTCTGCAGCCAAGTGGTTGAATCCCAGCTCCAGCTTTTGACCAGTTGTATAGTTTGGAAAGGAGGCCATCTCTCTCATGGGCCTCAGTTATCTTATCTGTGTGATAATGTATAATATTAGTACTTAAACTTGAGGTTGTGAAAACTAAACAGATCTCACAACCTATGAGATAGTGAGAATAATAAGATACATGAAATATTGAGAACAGTATGTAGGCATGGAAATCTGCAATAAAGTTTAACTGTCTGGACCTAGCATCTACTACTCATTTTCCTGGCATGGCTGGCGCCTTGTACACTCCCACAGGATCCCCTCTAGTCTCACTCTTGGAAGCAGGACAGGAGGGGCCTTCTTCTCTTTATCAGGCTCAAGGTGACTTTCCCTTTTATTACTGTGTATAGGAGGGAAGCTTTTTTTTAATGTCGAACCAAAAACCTTCCTTGGGAAACCTACCTTTGCTCTCTCCCTAGTACCTTGCACCTTTAGGGAGGTACTTCCTGGAGTGCCTAGAAGACTTTGGGCCAAGAAGGGTACCTGAAACAGAGCAGATTATAACTTTTATCTACATGAAATGTCCAGATAAATCTGTAAACTTGAAAAATTAGCATTTTAATGTCTTATATCTTGGCTTGAGGGTTTTGTTGTTATTGATGTTACGGTCTATTTTATCCTGGTTTATCATGACCTTCATCTTCGTAGAAGAAGCAATGTTTAGAAGTTTGGACATAGATTCTGGCCCCAGCTCTTCCTAGAACCATCTGTGTCACTTTGAGCAAATCATGATATCCTAGGACTTTAGAACCAAAAGGAGCTTTTTTGTTTTTTTAAGAGAAGATCTGATCAGACCCCTTAGATGAAGAAATGAGGTGAGGAAATAAGAGATGAAGAAATTGAGGCACAAAAAAGGTCAAGTACTTGCCCAACATCATCTGCCACATCCCCACAGATCCTGACTTTGTAGACTTTGATTTTAGAGGCTCTAAAATGAACAGTTTAGAGTAGATTGTCCCTAATTCTTATATCCATAAATTTCATATTTTATTTGTTTCCATGTTATACATGAATTGTACACTTTCTACCGAGTGTGTCTGACCAAGTTCAATAAAGAGAACAAAAATGTAATAACTATCTTTCCCATTTAGAAACTTTTTCCAGGGCTTCCTATTACCAGTTGGCACTGGAGCAGCTGCATAGCCATCCCAAGGCCCTGGAAGCTCTGGGCACTCCTCTCAGCATTCACTATCTTGAACTCACTGACAAGTACAACTTTGTGGACATTGCTGATGCCCAGGTAACATGCTTACCCAGAAAACTAGGCTAGATGTCTAATGAAGGAGAAAAGCAAGCCGCCCTAAACCAGAGAGGGTCTTAAAGGAAGCTGATGTAAGGATTTGGGATAGGAAAAGCTACCATGTGAAATTGCCCCTAAGGATTACTTGGAACCTTTTTAAATGGATTAATTTATTCTCATGTAGTTTTCTTTTTCTCTGGACAGTTGATGTGGCAGGGAAGGTAGTGTTTATGCTCAAGCACCATTTTGAACTGACAGAGAAATAACCAATGGTAGTTTGCCACCATTTATTTCAACTTTGAACTTGAAAAATATCTACAGCCGGTAAATAACTTCTTTAAATTTTAGTTTTGAATCTTACTTATTTATATTGATTGTATGGAATGCCAGTCCATTTTATCCAGCTGTATCTTATCGCCTTTTATAGTTTAGCTATTAAAACTCAGCGAATATAAAATGTATTTGTTCTGTTTAACAAGTATGTGTTGAATACATTCTGAGATAGAAAAGTGAGTCTAAGTTGTGTTGGGAATACAGAAATGCAGAAGGCTTTCTGGGAGTTTATAGTTTAAAACTCCAGAATAAGACAGGGTGAAGCAAATACTATAGTAAAGGCCTTGAATGGAGTGATTAGCGGACTAGGAGATTGTTTTGAAGAAAAGGAATGCCAGCCTGAGGAACAGCATACATAGGAAGGCACTTCATTGTTTCCTGCCAGTGTGACCTCAGTAGAGATTTGGACTGCTGAGGGGAGGGTATGGTCAGGTAGGACAGGCAAGGCAACTAGAGGGCTGCAACTTCATCATGTGTGGTGTACACACTTGATTCAGTGGCCAGCAGAAGCTCTGAAGTATTTTGAGAATACAAGGGTGATGCTTTAACCTAGTTAATTTTTTATTATTGTTTTTATTATTAATTTGTGGAAATAGTTTTATTGTTTATTTTTTTCTAACTGCAAAAGCAGTTTATGCTCAAGTATTCTGGTAAATATTTGATCTGGTTTTAAAACAAGGTAAATTCATTCAAATTGGGAATATTCAGAGTCTGGAAGTCTTTAGGAGAACAGTGTAGCCACATGGGTGTACAGTGGTGAGAGCCTGAACCAGAGCTGTGGCCTAGAGAAACAAGAAGTGGATATGAAGACTGTTGTGGTTGCCAGGTGATTGGACTTAGTAACAGATTTATAGAAGGAGAGGGGTGTGTCAAAGATGATACTCTGATGTCTAGCATGGGTGAGTGGAAGGACAGTGATACCATTACGTGAGAGAGGGAGGATCCCTGAGGAGAAAAGGGAAGGGAGTAAACATGTATTGAGTGCCTGTTCTGTGCCTTATGGCTATATTTTCATTATCTTCAAATCCCTCACACTATGTGGTGTGGCTCCTCTGTGTTTCACCATCTCTGTTCACTTGGCTGGATCCCCACAAGCATAAGGACTCTGAATGGCCAGGGATTGGGTCTGGCTATTCATGGTGTCTCCCAGCACAGACCACAGGGCCTGGTTTTGGTGCTCAAAAAGTCTGCAAGCATCTTTGCTAAAGGCAGGTCGATGTAGCATCGGTTCTGTGATCTGGTGATCCAATGACTGGTTAATGCTAAGGTAGTTTTAGTGGGGAACCCCCTCTGGTCAGGCCCAGCTTTCACTTTGGCCCAGTCTTCTGGCACATCCTGGCTGCTGCTGAGAGGGCTTGTTCCCATCCTGCAACCCAGGGCCTTTGGTGGCACTGTGTGATGGTGTTGGCTGTCGTACTGGACACTGGCCTCTGCTGCTGCTGCTGAACAGTGTGACAGCACAGTGACCTGCTGTCCCAGAGCCTCCTGTTCACCCAGCCTTTGCTCTTCCAGTTTGTGAAGTATGTCTTACATTCTGTCAGGGTCCTTCACCTCCTTTACAATCAGCTATTCATAAGGATGCCTGTGTAGAACACAGGCCATCTTATCCCATAAATACTATTTGTAGTTTCTTTATTTTGTTCAGAGGTGAGAAGTTTCAGTTTTTCATAAGGCATTTGTCATACTGAAGGATTTACCCCCAAGTGTATGTGTGAATTAGTCTCTAACTATCAATGCTTTGGTTTACCAGACACTCTGGTTTACTCTTTGGCAAAGTCTGGGCAGTGAAGAAATCAGTCTGTAAAGTGCCTCTTCCACTCACAGAGGTACAACTGCCTGAAGTTCAGACATTAATCTCTCTGTGTTTGCTATTCTTTTTTTTTTTTTTTTTTTTTTTTATCCTCACCCGAGGATATTTTTCCATTTTTTGTACAGATAGAGTGGGAGGGAGAGAGAGAGAGAAACATCGACGTGAAGGGACACATCGAGTGGCTGCCACCCGCACGACCAACCAGGGCCAGGGACAAACTGCAACCGAAGTACGCGCCCTTAGCGGGAACCGAACCCGGGTCTCTCTGGACCGCAGGCCGACACTCTAACCGCTGAGCCAAACTGGCCAGGGCTGTGTTTGCTATTCTTTAGAATCCTACTTACTTATGCCCTTTTATCACAAACACACCCTTTTGTTTATTTGTTTTATTTTAGCATGCAGAGATGCTCAGTCTATGCCCTGAGAAGAGCTGTAGCTTGATTCCAAGAATTCTGAGGAATCACTTTAGTGTGACGTGGGGTATGGAGTGACCATCCTAAAGTCTGTGTCTTTTTTTTCCCCCAATTTTTATTAATTTGTTTTTGTTACAGATGTTTTTCCTTTTTCCCCCCTAAACCCCCTTCTCTGCATCCTGCCCCCCACCCCCCTAGCATGGCTGTCTATGTCCACTGGTTATGCATACATGCATATAAGTTCTTTGGTTCATCTCATCCATCCCCCCCCACCCTCCTAGCCTGAGGTCTGTCAGTCTGAACCATACTCCTTTCGATGTCACAGGGTCTATTTTGTCCATCAGCCCAGGCTGTTCACTCTATTCCACAAATAAGTGAGATCATGTGGTATTTGTCTTTCTCTGATGGATTTATTTCACTTAGCATAATACTCTCAAGGTCCCTCCATGTTGTCTCAAGGAATACGAGATCTTTCTTTCTTACAGCTGCATTGTATTCCATTGTATATATGTACCACAGCTTTTTTATCCACTCATTTATTGATGGACACTTGGGCTATTTCCAGATTTTAGTGATTGTAAATAGTGCTGCTATAAACATAGGGGTACATATATTCTTTGTGATTGGTGTTTCAGGCTTCTTAGAGTATATTTTTAGAAGTGGGATAACTGGGTCAAATGGAAGTTCAATTTTTAATTTTTTGAGGTAACACCAAAGTGTTTTCGATATTGGCTGCACCAGTCTGCATTCCCACCAGCAGTGTACTAGAGTCCTCCTTTCTCCACACTCTCGCCAGCACTTGTTTAATGATTTGTTGAATGCAGCCGTTCTGGCAGGTGTGAAGTGATACCTCATCGTTGTTTTAATTTTCATCTCTCTGATGATTAGTGATGTTGAGCATTTCTTCATATGTCTCTTGGCCATTTGTATGTCCTGTTTGGAGAACTGTCTATTCAGCTCCTCTGCCCATTTTTTAATAGGGTTGTCTTCCTTTTTTTAAGTTGTATGAGCACTCTGTATATTTTGGAAAGTAACTCCTTATCTGATGTATCATTGGCAGTTCTGCTCTCCCATACAGTGGGTTCCGTTTCCATTTTAATGTTTGTTTCTTTTGCTGTGTAGAAGCTTTTTAGTTTGATATAGTCCCATGTGTTCATTTTTTTCTTCGTTTCTGTTGCCTTAGGTGATGTATCAGTGAAAATTCTGCTGCCTATGATGTCTGAAATTTTGTTGCCTACATTTTCTTCTAGGAATTTTATGGATTCATGAGTCACGTTTAAGTCTTTTATTTATTTTGAGTTCATTCTTGTGTATGGTGTAAGTTGATGGCCTATTTTCATTTTTTTGTATGTAGCTGTCCAATTTTCCCAACACCATTTATTAAAGAGGATGTTTTCACTCCATTGGATGCTCTTGCCACCTTTGTCAAATATTAATTGAGCATAATGTTTTGGGTCAATTACTGGGTTCTCTCTTCTGTTCCTTTGTATATGCCTGTTCTTGTGCCAGTACCAGGCTGTTTTGATGACAGTAGCTTTGTAGTATAACCTGATATCTGATATTGTGATCCCACCTACTTTGTTTTTTTTTTTTCAACATTGCTGTGGCTATTTGAGGTCTTTTTTGGTTCCATATGAACTTTAAAAGTATTTGTTCTAGTCCTGTGAAATATATCAATGGTATTTTGATGAGGATTGCATTGAAGCTATAGAGTGCTTTGGGTAGTATGTGCATTTTAATGGTGTTAATTCTTCCAATCCATGAACAAGGTATGTGCTTCCACTTTTTTATATCTTCCTCTCTTTTTTTTTTTCCAATGTCCTGTAGTTTTCTGCAAATAGGTCCTTTACTTTTTGGTTAAGTTTATTCCTAGGTATCTTAATTTTTTTTACTGCAATGGTAAGTGGGATTGGGTTTTTTTGTTTCTCTTTCTGTGAGTTCATCATTGGTGTATAAGAATGCTGTCAATTTTTTGATGTTAATTTTGTATGCTGCTCCTTTGCCAAATTCGATCATTAAGTCTGGTAGATATTTCATAGAGTCTTTAGGGTTTTTTTTGTACAATATCATGTCATCTGCGAATAATGACAATTTTCACTTTCTTCTTTCCAGTTCGATCCCTTTAATTTTTTCTCCATGTCTGATTGCTATAGCTAAGACTTCCAGTACTATGTTAAATAAGAGTGGTGAAAGTGAGTATCCCTGTCTTGTTCCTGTTCTTAAGGGAAATGATTTTAGTTTTTACCCATTAAATATGATGTTGTCTGTGGGATTTTCATATATATCCTTTATTATATTGGAAGATTTTTTTTCCATCTCTTCACTTTCAACCGATGTTAGTCTTTTGTTGTTAGGTGGGTCTCTTGTAAACAACATATATATGAGTCATGCTTTCTTATCCAGTCAGCTACTCTGTGTCTTTTGATTGGAGCATTCAGTCCATTTATATTTTAGGTTATTATTGATGTGTACATATTTATTGACATTTTTGTTTAGTGTGGTTATATTTTTATTTCCATTTCTTTTACTAACTACATTTTAACATTTCTTGCAGTGCTTGTTTGGTGGTAATATATTCCCTTAGCCATCTTTTGTTTGAGAATTTCTTTGTTTGACCTTCTAATTTGAATGATAGCCCTACTGGATAGAGTAGTCTTGGATTCAGATCCTTGTTTTTCATGCCCTTGATTATTTCATGCCATTCCCTTCTTGCCTGTAGTGTTTCTTGTGAGAAATCAGCTGAGAGCCTTATGGGGGTTCCTTTGTAGGTATCCTGTTGCTTATCTCTTGCTGCTTTTAGGATTCTCTCTTTGTCTTTAATTTTTGGCACTTTGATTACTATGTGTCTTGGTGTGGGCCTGTTTGGGTTCTTCTTACTTGGGGCTCTCTGTGCTTCTTGAACTTGAATGCCTTCTTCCTTCTCCAAATTAGGGTAGTTTTCTCTCACTATTTCTTCAAATATATTCTCTATCCCTTGCTCACTTTCTTCTTCTGCAACTTTTATGATGCAAATATTGTTACGTTTCCACTTGTCCCACATTTCTCTTAAGCTGTCGTTTGTTTTTTAATGGTTTTTTCCTTTTGGTTTTCTGATTGGTTGATTTTTTTTCTACCCTGTCCTCTAATTCACTGATCCAGTCTTCAGCTTTCTCTACTCTGCTGGTTATTTTTTCCAATGTCTTTTTTATTTCTGCTATGTCATTCTTCGTTTCCACATGGTTGGTTTTCATTGTTTCTATATCTTTACTCATGGTGTTGATGTTCTTACTGTGCAGTTGAGCTTCCTCAAGATCATGGCTCTGAACTCTACCTCTGATAACTTGCTTAACTGCATTTTACTTATCTCATCTTCAGTAGAGTTCTCTTGTTCTTTCATTTGGAATTTGTGTCTTTGTTTCACCATTTTGGCTCTCATTGGGTTTTGGAGCCTGCCAGATTTTTCCTGTTGGTGTTGGTGTTCTGGTGTTTGTGGCTCCCTCTACTGAGTTTGGATGAGCGTAGGAGGACCCACGTTAAACACCACTGTCAAGTCTTACTTTCCTGGGTAGATTTGTAAGCCCAGGAATAGTTCTGTTGTACTTGAGCTGTTTGCCTGAAGACTATTCTCAGTTGCTTGATGAGCCTTGGGTTGTAACCCTCAGTTGAATGAAAAACTCCCTCTGGTGTTCAGGGTAAGAGGATTTCCAGAATTTGCATTTCTCTGTCCTAGCTGGGTGGGGTTAAATTTCTGAGGGAGGGTCTACTGCATCTCCCCAGAACTCTGGGAATGAAGAAGATGGCCACCGTCCTCTGTGACTGTGACTCATTAAAAACTCTGAGCACCCTCCAAATCCCGAGTGTCCCCACAGAGTTCCAGTCCAGTCTGCCCTTCTTCTCCCAGAGCCCAAGGTGAGTGGCTGTAGCTCATTTAGTACTCTGTTCCAGCCATCTGGGCTGTGGTACCTGCTTGGGATTTTAACTCTGAAGGAGCTGCTCACAGCTATAACAGCTGCTGCTGTTCATGGGCTCCTAGCCCGCCCTCTCATGCCTCTGCAGACCTATCAGTCTCAATTCAGTGTCCCTTTATCCTGTCCCTGGTTATGTGGTCCTCTTTAGCTGCTTTTGTGTTGCTTTTTTTTTTTTTTTTTTTGATGATTTGTTTTTATTATAGTTGTAATTCCAGTTTGGTCCTGGCAGATGTTATATGTAGCTTCCATTCACTCTGCCGTCTTTTTGGAACCTCTATGCAAAGTCTGTGTCTTTAAAATGTGTTTAAATAGTCTGGCTGGTGTGGCTCAGTGGTTGAGCATCAACCCATGCACCAAGAGATCACTGGTTCAATTCCCGGTCAGGACACATGCCCAGATTGTGGGCCAAATCCCCAGTGGGGAGCATGTAGGAGGCATCCATTCAACGTTCTCTCTCATCGATGTTTCTGTCCCTCTCCTTCTTACTTCCTCTCTCTCTAAAATTAATAAAGGAAAAAATAAATAAATAAAATAATATGTGTTTAAAGAGAGAGAACTTTGGGAAACATAAATGTGTACAGTGCAGTTCAATGCACCATCTCTTAGCCCAGGAAAGTATCTTTGCCTATTACCTGGGCACAGGAAGACACCCTGGGAGTTACCTTAATATGGGATTCCTTGTTAGAACATCGTGTCCCCTTCGCTTGGCTCAAGTTGTCTTTAGTTTTACCGAGAAACCAGATCTATTTCATTCAATATTTTATAAAATAGGAACACATTAGCAAATAGGTGTTTGTTTACTAGCTCACCCCGAGTTTCCCAGGTTGATTTCCTAGACCCCGGTACATGGCAGCATCCAGGCAGCAGCTATCTACATGGAGTAAGCCCAGTCTGTGGTAACTGCTGAGAATGAACTAACTGAGATTTCCTTGTGTTTTCCAAATGAACCTTTACATAATTTCCTTAAGTCTTGTTCTTTATGGTCCAGGTTAAAATGTGTACCAATTTGCTGGTAATAGTTTCCCCTTTTAAACAGTGGACTTTGTTCTTTTCCCTACTTTATTGTGAAAAGTTTTAAACATAACAGAAAAAAATTAAAGAATGCATGCTGTGAAACCATTATAGTAGCTACCTGGATTCTATACTTCGTATTTTGTTCTACTTGCTTTATCCCATACCTATTCGTCTACCCATATCTCTGTTTATCCATGAACACCTTATTATTTTCAAACAGCCATACACTTTAAACACATAAGCATGTATATCATTAACTACAGTTTAATATTTATTTATGGCTCTTTTTTATGAGGTAAAATTTACCTTCTGTGAAAGGTACAAATCTAAGTATCTTATTTGATGGATTTTAGCAAGCTCCTATCTATATATACACTGTTCCCATCACCAGATAGTTTGCTCATGCTATTTCCAGTTGATCCCATCTCACATCCCCAGCTCCAGCAGAGGCAATCACTTTTCTGATATTTTTTTCCCCAGTGTATGTTAGCCTGTTTTAGAACATGGAATCATGCATTATAGACTGTTGGGTAAGGCTGTTTCACTCAGCATGTTTTTGATAGTCATCCATGTTGTTACATGTGTATCAGTAGTTCTTTTTTAACTATATTTTAAAATAATCATTGCAAGTACTCAGAGCATTGAGCTTGGCACATAAGATCTTGCCAAATGAGAGGGCTGCCTCTGACCTCACCAAACCATCCAAAGAGAGGTAGGATATTTGGAGGGGGCCAGATAGAAAACCAGGTGAATTCTGCAACTAGGCTTAAGTTAGAAAACAGCTAGATTCGCCCTGGCCGGATTGGCTCAGCGGTTAGAGCGTCGGCCTGCGGTCCTGAGAGACCCGGGTTCGGTTCCCGCTAAGGGCGCGTACCTCGGTTGCAGTTTGTCCCCGGCCCTGGTTGGGTTGTGCGGGTGGCAGCCACTCGATGTGTCCCTTCACATCGATGTTTCTCTCTCTCTCTCCCTTCCTCTCTCCCTCCCACTCTATCTGTACAAAAAATGGAAAAATATCCTCGGGTGAGGATAAAAAAAACAAACAAACAAACAAAAAAAAACAGCTAGATTCTGTAGATCATCACTGGTTTTTATAGAGTTAGCTCTAGAAAGTATAATTTTGTCATCTCTTGAGAGGACAGCAGTATATCTAATTATATCTCTCATTTTATACTCCCAGTTGAAGATTCCTGTCTCTGGATCCAAGTCAGCAGGCTATCTCTATGTCAGCTCATCCAGAGATGCCCCCTTTAACAGGTATTATGGGAAAGTGGGTGGGTATGGAGGAACAGGATATTTTCATTTGTAGTTATATAATTGTGGTAATAAGAATTAACTTATTCAAAGCTTGAAAAGTTTCACAGACTGGGCAGCAAGCCAGTGCTTTGACTCTTAGCTTAGTCCAGACATTTTATCCAATGTAATTCACCAAATTTATACTCCCTATTCTGTTGAATTTGAAGAACTTTACAGTTCTAGTGTAGGTCTACAATACTTTTACAGCTTCTAACTGTACTTTCTGAATTATTATAAATAAATGAAGACATGGATTCCTATTCCAGAATTATTCAACACATTCTTTATATAAGCGTTTCACTTCATTAATTGACTTTTCTTGTCTGGTTGTCAATAGCTACATTCACTCATTTGTCTGGGGAAGCTTCTGTCAGAGATATTTGCTGTTTAGCCAGGGTATGTTTTAACTCCCCAAGACAAAAGGAGCAGGCACCTGCCTCCCACTGTGCTTGTTGACTTCAAAGCCTAGGATCAGTGGAGTAGCTGGCCAGGTTCCAGCCAATAATTGAAGGCCCTAGTGAATTAGGAAATGGAGAATAAGGTGTTTTTTCTCTTTCTTGATGCCCCTTCAGTTCACCCATCAGTCATTTGTTGTTAGACTTGCCTTGACAATGATGCTGGTTAAATAATGAGAGCATATAATAAAATGTTAAAATGTTACATTAACCTAGTTGTGACATAAAATAGTGTTTAAAAATTTTAAGACAATATTCCAAACAACTGTTTTTTTTCCCCTTTTGAACATGTCCTTTGCCAGTATTTTTTGGATTACTTTTGTTTTCTATCAGGTGGCACCTTCAGGAGGTCTTCTTAGAGCTCAAGGATGGTCAGCAGATTCCCGTGTTTAAGATCAGACAGCAGAATGGTGATAAAGTAAAAATGGAGTAAAGATGATCAGAAAGACCCAGCTTTCTCCAAGCATGGCCTTCCCTCATCAACATATACCCTCTATGTCTTTGAGCCAGCTTTCCAACCACCAGGGGGATGATTGTATGTGCTAGCATATGGTAAATTTGGTTTAATTCTGATTTGACCACAATGAATGCTATTGAGGTTTTATTTAATTAGACAGAAATGTTTACTATAATTTTATAATTATTTGAAAGTTCTCTGTACAAAAGCATAGAATAAAAGGCATCAGTATTAATAATGTTTATTGACTTTGCTAGTTCTCATCTTTTTTATTTTCTTCTTCCCAAGTGCTCATAGTTTTCAGCTCCATCAATGAAAAGGGAGAGATTTATTAAAGAGATTTTTCATTGTCAGTGTTAGAATGCTCAGGAAGAGCAACCTTTTATTTTGATCACTCTACCCTCAATCCATATTTTTAAGTAGCGTATGGACATTCTGATTTTGGAATTTTTTTACTTCATTATTGTTGTTTCTGCCCAGTTGAAGATTTGCAAAATAGCTGCTTAACTTCAAACATTTTCAAAGCTTAAAAATGTGTATTTGTATATAAGCATATGTAAAACATAGGAATGTTAGAACTAACAGGACCTTAAGCTCTGCTCTCCAGACAACTTAACCACATATTGGAGAACTGTACCACTAGGTTTTTATTAGTTTTATAAAGGGACTGTTTTATAAAGCCAAAGATCTTCCTTCCCTTTGAGCACCAGAACCTACAGAAACCAGAAATCTGATACCTTTTGAAAAGGCTAATTTAACCGTTTTAGTATTAGGCTTAATGCAATTATAACTGCTTACAATAATGGACATTCTTGAGCTCTTTTTCTACATTTCTACATTCTTAATTTTATGGATGAAAGCCTCTCGGAAAAGATTAAGTTTAAATATGCTAGCAGCCCAGCCAATGTGACTCTGGATTGAACATCTTCCCATGGACTGAGAGGTCCCAGTTTGATTCCCACTCAGGGCATGTGCCCTGGTTGCAGGATTGATCTCCAGTAGGGAGTGTGTAGGAGGCAGCTAATCCATGTTTCTTTCTCACATTGATGTTTCTATCTCTCCCTTCCTTTCTCTAAAAAAATCAATAAAAACATTTTTTAAAATATTAAAAAGCATGCTAGTAGAGTATAAGGCTTTTAATTGTTGGAATTAATTTCTACTGTGGAAATTCTTTTTACATTCTTTCTTTGTCATGCCTGTGTGAATACCTTATGTGCATGTATTAAACTTTGATTTTGTCATGTTAAAGAATAAAAATATGTTCTTTGATTAGATTACCCAGTGAAAATTCTTTTTACCCTGAGAGTATTTTTGCCAATGTTTACTGATAAGTATTACGATATGTATAGTCTTTTAAAATAAATGGTAGAACATAGTACAGTTTTGTAGCACCTAATTCTTTAAGAGCTGTATATATTCTATGTCTATATGTCAGTTTATGTATTGCTTCATATCTGACTATTTTCTAATGACTTTTACTTCCTTTTAGCGTTTGCTAGTTCTTTTCTTGTTATGGCCAAATCATAGAAAACATGGGCCTGTGTGGGCCATCTGTTCTGAAGTAGAAGCAAGTTTAGTTTGTTTGGAATTTGAATCAAAAGGCTTTTCTAACCCAACCAACTGGAAATAGTATTATATAGGGGAAAACTCGTTGATTTCCATTTGAAAGCCACCATCTTATGTATTTTTTTCAGTTAAGTTACTTCCATATATTTACTTATTAATGCCTTCATGAGTGATTGTAAACAAGCTGGAACCTGGTCATTACAATAGACATTGTCTCCCCCCAACCTTTAAAAAAATTTTTTTATTTTCTTTTAGTTTTATTGTTGAAAGTATTACAGATATATCTCACCCTATTTCTCCCCCACTGACCTCTTCATTCCCGCTCCCACTCCCCTCCTGCTTTCCCCATATAGTGCTGCTATGAACATAGGGGTACATATATTTTTTCTGATTGGTGTTTGAGGCTTCTTAGAGTATATTCCTAGAAGTGGGACCACTGGGTCAAATGGCAGTTCAATTTTTAATGTTTTGAGGTAACACCAAAGTGTTTTCGATATTGGCTGCACCAGTCTGCATTCCCACCAGCAGTGTACTAGATTTCCCTTTTCTCCACATCCTCACCAGCACTTGTTGTTTGATGATTTGTTGATGGCAGCCATTCTGGCAGGTGGGAGGTGATACCTCGTAGTCATTTTTATTTGCATCTCTCTTTTGATTAACGACGTTGAGCATTTTTTCATAGGTCTCTTGGCCATTTGTATGTCCTGTTTGGAGAGGTGTCTCTTCAGGTCCTCTGCCCATTTTTTAATTGGATTCTGTCTTTCTTTTGTTAAGTTGCATGAGTACTCTATATATTTTGGAAATTAACCCCTTATCTGATGTATCATTGGCAAATATGTTCTCCCAGAGAGTTGGTTCCCTTTTCATTTTGATGCTTGTTTCTTTTGCTGTGCAGAAGCTTTTTAATTTCATGTAGTCCCATTTATTAACTTTTTTCTTTGTTCCTCTTGCCCTAGGTGATGTATCAGTGAAAATTCTGCTATGGGTGATGTCTGAGATTTTTCTGCCCACATTTTCTTCTAGGATTTTTATGGTTTCAAGATTTACATTTAAGTCTTATTCATTTTGTGTTTATTCTTGTGCACTGTGTAAGTTGGTGATCTAGTTTCATATTTTTTGCATGCATCTGTCCAATTCTCCCAACACCATTTATTGAAGAGACTAGACTGTCTTTTCTCCATTGTATGCTTTTGCCTTCTTTTTCAAATATTAATTGCGCATACTGTCTTGGGTAGATTTCTCGGTTTTCTCTTCTGTTCCATTGATCTATATGCCTGTTCTTGTGCCAGTACCAGGCTGTTTTGATTACAATGGCTATATAATATAACTTGACATCTGGTATTGTGATCCCTCCAGCTTCGTTCGTCTTTTTCAATATTGTTGTGGTTATTTCGGGTCTTTTTTGGTTCCATATAAACTTTTGGAGTATTTGTTCTAGATCTGTGAGATAGGCTATTGGTACTTTAATAGGGATTGTGTTGAACCTGTAGATTGGTTTGGGTAGGCTGGACATTTTAATATTTATTCTTCCAATCCATAAACATGATATATGCTTTCACTTTTTCATATCTTTCTCTATTTCTTTTTTCAATGTCCTTTAGGTTTCTGAGAACAGATTTTTACCTCATTGGTTAAGTTTATTCCTAGGTATCTTATTTTTTGTTGTTGCAGTAATACATGGGATTTTTTCTTTAGTTTCCCTGTGTGAGTGTTCATTCTTGGTGTATAAGAATGCCATCGATTTCTGGATGTTAATTTTGTATCCTTCTACTTCGCCGAACTCATTTTTTAAATCCAGTAGATTTTTGATGGAGTCTTTAGGGTTTTCAATATACACTATTATGTCATTTGTGAATAATGATAGTTTCACTTCCTCCTTTCCAATTTAGATACCTTTTATATTTTCTTCTAGTCTAATCACTGCGGCTAAGATGTCCAGCACTATGTTGAATGAGAGTGGGGATAGTGGGCATCCCTGTCTTGTTCCCATTCTTAAGGGAAATGCTTTTAGTTTTTGCCCATTGAGTATGATGTTGGCTGTACGCTTTTTATATCTGGCGTTTATTATATTGAGATATCATCCTTCTGTTCTGACTTTAATGAGCATTTTTATCAGAAATTGGTGCTGAATTTTGTCAAATGCTTTTTCAGCATGTATTGATGAGATCATACGGTTTTTATCTTTCATTTTGTTTATGTGGTGTATCACATTTATTAATTTGTGAATATGGTATCAGCCTTGCATCCCTGGAATGAATCCCATTTGGTCATGGTGAATAATTTTTTAAATATATTGTTGGATCTATTTTGGTAATATTTTGTTAAGGATTTTACAGTCTGTGTTCATTAGGGATATTGGCCTGTAGTTTTCTTTCTTTGTTGTGTCTTTATCTGCTTTTGGAGTTAGGATTATGCTGGTGTAATAAAAAGAGCTTGAAAATCTTCCTTCCTCTTGAATTTTTTGGAATGGTTTGAGGAAAATAGTTAATAGTTCTTTGAATGTTTATTAAAACTCCCCTGTGAAGCTGTCTAGATCTGAGTTTTAGTTTCCTGGGAGTTTATTGATTACATCTTCTATTTCTTTAGTAGTTATTGGTCTGTTCAAGGTTTCTGTCTTTTCCCAGTTTAGTTTTGGGAGACCTTGTGATTTTAGAAATTTGTCCATTTTACCTAGGTTGTCCAATTTGTTGGCATGTAATGGTTCATAGTATTTTCTAACAATGCTTTGTATTTCTGTGGTGTCAGTTGTTACTTCTCTTTCATTTCTGGTTTTGTTTGTTTGGCTCCTTTCTCTTTATTTCTTGGTGAGTCTGGCTCAAGTTTCATCAATCCTGTTTATCTTTTGAAAGGACCAGCTCTTGGTTTCATTGATCTTTTGATTTTTTTTTTAGTTTCTGTGTCACTTATCTCTGATCTGACCTTTATTATTTCTTTCCTTTTACTTGCTCTTGAGGCTTTTTTTTTTTATTTTTTTCATTTTCTTGTTCTTTAAATTGTAGGGTTAGATAGTTTATTAGAAAATTTTCTTGTTTCTTGAGGTAGGCTTGTAATGCTAAGAACTTTCCTTTCAGGACTGCTTCCCTGAGTCTCATAGATTTTGTGTTGTAGTGTGTTCATTTTCATTGATATCTGGGAAGTTTTTAAATTTATTTCTTGATCTAACCCATTCATTGTTTAATAACATGCTGTTTTGCCTCCATGTATTTGAATGTTCTTTTTGTAATTAATTTCTAATTTTATGTCACAGTGATTTGAGATGTTGCTTGACATAATTTCAGTCTTCTTGAACTTGTAGGGACTTAGTTTGTGTCCTAACATGTGGTCTGCCTTTGAGAATGTCCCATGTGCACTTGGAAAGAATGTGTATTCTGCAGTTTTGGGGTATAATTCTCTATTAATATCTATTAAATCATTTTGGT